GTTCCGGAGCCCATATCCAAACTTCCCGATCCTATATTCGGCATATTGAGCGTAGTTAAAATACATTTCTTTCTTCGCAAGTAGCAGCTTTCCCCTGATGAGTAAAAGTGAGGTAGACGCGTCCGCAGCGACACCTGAGTACGAGAATGTCGCGGTTAACGAGCTGTGACCAGATTTGCCATAAACTTCCACTTTTTGTTAATTAGTAATATGGTTGCAAAGAAGTTTTAACGACTTCAAAGTTTTGATATCTTTGTCATTAAAAGGGTCAGATTGATCTCCCACCAGTTTGCCCGCTTTCTGAATACAACAATTTGGTTTAATGACTAGCCCACTTACGAATTGAAGCTAAATGTCCGCAATTTAAGATTTTCAAAAAGCTAGATTGTGCACCATATTGCAAGCTAAGATGCAAAGTGTTTGACCGCGTAGTACAGCACTAACTACATATTTTCATTAAGTTCCACAGCAGTCTTCCTCATATTTAAACCGCCGTTCGCCACCAGCGCACAATTTTTGTCGACAGATAATCTTTGCTAATTCGTTTGTGTATGCGTAGATATGACAAAAGCCATCCATGTTATTTTTGAATGCGACGTGTCCATCGAGTGCCCTAATACGACCTACTTCTCAGATCCAGGTGATACCCATTCGAGTATTACGTTGCGCGAAGTGTGCACAAGCTCAGCAACATGTCGTGTTATGGCGAACATTACAATCAAAAAAACTTCAGCAGTCAGCAGTAATTGCTGGAGCCTCGGCTTTCCACAGTATTCCTTTACTCTCCTGATCGACAATGGCGTTTTCCTACATGATATTGAGCGAATCGCTCTTCAATGGTGGCGTGTACGAGAGTTCAGCGAGTTTAAAACCTTTTCGACATCGGAAGTGATAGGGATAACGATTTATCTGCTATGAGCATCGCTAAATGAGAGTTCACTATTCGTTGAAACTCGTTCCCCAATGCTTATTTTAGACAAGGCAGCGCGGATCGACGTTTACGATCTGGCGAGTGCAGAATTCTTCGATTTCTTCCGTCCTTACCTTGATTGGCATTTGAGAGAGGTAAGGACGGAAGAAATCAAAAAATTGTTCACCATTCCAATCTATGGTTCTCACTTAAGTGCCAACAGATTTGTGGTTGTTTATTATTCCGCATTTCCACCACCCTCACAAATGCTCGTGAACATGGGCCACACTGTGCTCATGCCTTTCGTCGCTAAAAGTCCTTGTCTGCTTTCTCAACTTCACAGAATGGCTTTGACTGAAGCGTTCCTTTGTGTGTATTCCACAAATACTGGAATCATAGAAAACAGCAGATTTGCACTTTCACGGGAATGACAGAAATCGCAGTAGTATGCTCATATCCTACAGCGACCTATCCTGACGGTCAATGATAATGCTCATCACAGTATTGAACAGACAAGCCCTACTAAGCAAAGTGCGCAAAAAAGTCAGACAAGAATGTGACAATAGTTTGGAAAGCTGTGGAGTCAAACATTAAGGGCCGCATGCATTAACATCCCCACTGGGGA